CAAAGGAATTAGACCAGTCATCACCCGAAGACAATTGTGGATACTAACAATCGAAACTTCGTGAAGTAACTTGGCTTGGAATCTTTCTACGTTTCATCTTTATTTCAAATTTTTGTTCAATTGTTGTTCTATTTCAACTTGTATTTTATTTCACTGTTATTTCATATAATATCAGACAATAGAAGTCCGAACTAATGAAATTCATTTTGTTTGTTGTATCAGTAAGATGTTCGAAATCAATCAATACATGTATTGAAAGTGTAAATGATCACTGTCTGTTCTATTATTGATAGTTTTTATCAAACCCAATGAACCCAAAACAATGATTTCCAGAATTTTTGTCCGTTTTTCTGTTGGTCTGTGTTTTTGTGCGCCCTAATTTTTAAAACTCGTTTCGAAGCGGTTTCAAAGAATGGATTGTAGAGCTCCAGCTAATAATTATTGTTCAATTCATTTCAATATATTTCCATGAAGTCGTATGGTTTTTCACTTCTTGTATATCCATATTCTGTTATGTTCTCCGTTCTCCATTGGTCAGTGATATTGTTCGTGTTCCATTTTAACTTTTCCCTGGATTTATAGCTGCAGACTTCATTGCCCGAACCGTGAAAATAATAAACGTATCCAAGCTTTTCCAATAGAAGGGTCAATTGGCAATTACGCTCCGCTTCGGTGATAGTTTGATAGAGGTTTAAAATATCTCCTTCAGACCTTGATATCGAAAGCCGTTTTGTGGTGATTCCCTGTAGCTAAAGTACTCTCCTAAATTATTTGGTGGAACTTTCATGGTCACAGCCGGAACTTCAACTTGAATGAATATCCAATCCACAGAATGAACTTCACATACTGTAGATTAATTTTCAACAACAGTGAGTTTCTTTGAAGTGAATTGAAATGAGACAGCAAAAACCACACTCTAACATATAATTTCATACATTTTTATATTATCGGAAAGTTTCTGCTATTGGCAGGTTATCATTTGTGGATATCACACGTTACTTTTTCTTGCGAACCCTTCAATTATATAACTCAACTTCATCTTCACTCTGTTACGCAGTCATACCATGATTATGATAATAAGGAAAACAATTATTTTTATTATTATTATTATTCACCTAAAGAGAATTTATTGCACTGATTTCTAACCTCCGGGGTAGGTAAAAAACATAATCCACATGCAAGTTTCTCATTTTTGTGTTAAACTGATTTCAAAAGCATGGAAAAAATAGAAGACTCAAATCACGAATATCAAAGTCAAGCTTCGACATTGTCCGTCGAATGAGATTTGTTATTTCCTTTCTCTGTAGCTTTCACTGAAGGATAACCAGATGAAAGCAGAACCATAAAAAAAACAAATGGATTGCTGGACACCATCATCAAATTTGTGACAAAATTCAGAGAAATCGGTAAAATAAACAGCGAAAGACAGTAGAAAACCAGTAGCAGGAAGCAAAAAATGAATATTCTGCCAATAGCGTTTGAAGAGGATCCCCATATCAGCTCACATCGAATAGTTTTATATGATAACATACACCATTCAACAGTTCTTGCAACGATAAAAAAGTAGCATTCCTATAATGTTACTCCACTCCAGGAGATGGAAGATGAATTTGATGGACGCATCCAATTATTAGTTTAAAAAAAGTTCTTCTAAATGGTCTACGTCTGACGTGTCGTTATTGGGCCGAAGAAAAACCACATTGAATGCAGAAGTGTCACACTCAATACCCAGAGAAATAGAATATATGGAAGGGAATAATACATAATAATACAGGTTCATAATTTCTTCAAAATAACGCGCCCGACATTATGCCAAAAGGATCAATCGAGTGGCCATCCAGGTCGCCATATCTCACCCCATTCGATTTTTCATGGAGATAGTTGGAAAGAAGAGTATATAATATCGATCGATATCGATTATTATTATTTTCTTTTGGGTAAGTGATCATTGGATCCGAGAATCATGTGTCCTGAGCAAGCGCTGTGAGCCAAGAATGACAGCCTTCTGTGCGGCTAAGAGTTCTGCCTTAGTGCGGCAAGCCGGTATAATTTTGAGATTCGAGAATAAAGAAGACATCATTCCACCAAGGACTCCAATAATCAGAACAACCATCTTGACAGAGTGATCTGGATAGAGTCTGCGGAATTCGAAGAGAAAATCTCGATATTTTATCCGTTTTTCCNGAGTTTTTCACTGCAGTTACCTCTTGTGAGTGGCGTTGTTCCACCCCGAGGTAAGTATACGTCTCTCCGGCATCCAGATGATGTAGGATGCTTCCATCTACGAGCTGCACATCCTCTCCGTAGTCCCCGCATCGTCCTCTTTTGAGATGAACCATATTATTATTATTATTATTATTATTATTATTAAATGAAAGGGTAATCTGATAGAATACGCAATTGTAAATAAAATCGACGGGTCTCAGGATTTGTTCTTCCAGTCACCAACTCACAAAATAATAAATTCATTCGTTTTATTTATTCATTCTTCTCCTCCTAGACAGAAAAATCCGCTACGTAGAGGGTATCAAACGTCATTATTGATATTTGAGAAAACAGTTCACATTATTGAATTTTAGTTCCTGCTTAATATTCTGGAATTTTGCATTGTATTGCTTCATGAGATGAATTATAAATCATCCGGTTTCAGGTAATCCTTAAAATCTCTACGGATATGAAAAATTGTACATGGAATAACTTCGCGACAGTGACTAAAGAACATTACGAAAGAAAATGATAAAGACATTTATATCACCACTTCCATAATTTTCAGTGGCATCCCGGCTCTGAAATAAGGATTTTATTAAGCGGTGCTTCAAATTCTTAATGAGGCGCCGTTGGAAGCAATTTCTCTAATGCCGTGTTGCAAATTACTTCTCGAGACTTTCTCATGAGTCCTACACGAGCTTTTAGTAGACATAAACAATGGTGCTTGGTTTTGTAATGGAGAAAAATAGAATGAAATAGATAAACATCATCAACTTTCTTATGATGTGTTATTTGGAACCTTTGGTGTAGTAATGAATATTACTGGAGTTTATTCGCAACACCAAATAGTTTTTTTTTTTGGTGCATCGTCTTTTGACTTTCCTTCTAACAGATGATGGGTTCACAAAAGAAAAACGTACAATACAGGAAATAGCAGCCACTAACGGTTTCCCGAGGGGTTTTGTAGATGACATAATTAGGAAAAAGAAGTTTTTGCCCTAGTATCGGTTAGTGGTAAAGATATAGATGAAGCTAGTCAAAAAATGAATGAAGCATTGAATAATATTGCTACATATTTAAAAACTGATAAATCGAAGATAAATATCAACAAAACAAAGGCTATGATACTTACTACACCGTTTAAGTACAGATAATTAGATTTAAATCAAATTGAAATAAAAATGAAAGAAAATGACATAATTGAACACATAACTGAACTCAAAAAGCTAGGATTCATGTTGGACAAGCATCTATCAATGAATAACGATTTCACTTACATACAGAAAAGAATTTTGAAGAAATTATATTGTTTAACAAGAGTGTCCCAACACTTAACCATGCAAACACGGACAACTGTACGCATATAAAACCATTATACAACATTTCGAATATTGTCCTACTCTTCTATACACAGGTGATTCAAATACAATGAAAACACTACAAAAACTACAGAATCGCGCAATGAGGATTATTTTGAGATGTGACAGGAGTACCCATATAACTTCACTATTAAATACTCCAGAATGGTTATTTATAAAAAGTAGGCTCACATATTTAACGATGATTTATATTTACAAAATGTTGCATAACAAAATTGACAAAATTGTAAGTTTTAATAATCAAATCGATCAGTATAATACTAGAATAAGAAATAATTTGTACGTAAATAATCAAACAAAAACGTTCAACACTAAAACAATAATTTTCAAATGATTTATTGAGTATAACCTGAAAATGTAGTCTTCTAAAGGTGTTATTCTGTTCAAAAGAAATCTATTAGACCATGTCAGAGACCATTAAGGTCTCTGACGAATTTCTTCGTCACATTCCATTTTCCAACCGATCGTTTCGTAAGAAACGATACCAAATTAGTATGTAACATTTTTTTTTGTATTTTCAATTATCGTAGGTAAGACTAGTTATTAACAAATATCAGTAGATCATTTTTTTCTATTATTGTGTTTATATGTATATTAATGTTAACATTATTATCATTGTTGTATATTAGGATGTATCCTATTTGAATAAAGCATTTCATTTCATTTTATTATAGAGCCCTGAAAATTTATTAAAATCCGAAACATGGTTAATAAACGTGCAATGAATAGTTAACTTCTATATACAAAAGGTATTACATGTACTTGTTTTTTCATGATATTTTTAGTGATACACTTCTGTAGAAAAACTATGAAATGATTTACTAGTATTTACTAGATTTAGTAGTTTGGGCGAAGGCGTTAGTTTAATAACAGTGTCGGGGCACAACTCCTTCGCCAAAATTTAAAATTATATTCACTAACCAAATATCAATGTTTCAATGACAATTGAACTTATGTTCAAATCATGTGTATTTGTGTTTTACATTTTTCCAAATGGCTATATAAACTATGTTTACAACAAACTTTGTCAAACCAATATGCAAAATCTTATTTTATATTGTTATTTTTTATATTTTATCTACTTGACATGTAAACTTATTCTTGTTCATTTTGTGTTTTCTGGGTATTTGTGTTTTCAAATCTTTCTTTTTCATCAATTTCATTTTAAGTGCTTTCAATAACACGTTTCTTCATCAAGCTTTGCCAATAAGGAAATAGTTTGATTGAGCAATTAAGTATATTTTACATCACACATCACATTACAAGATGGAGTAGTAGAAAGCCAAAAACTTTCTTTCCCAAAAAATAATTAAATTTTACAGACATTTGAAATTCGAAAGGTATAGAAATAGGAATCTTTGTTACTGAAAAATATGTTTTCTCAATGTCTATTTTAATTTTTTCATTTTTCAGAACTCCTCTGGAGTGCTCCTGAGTTATTACGACACGGTAGTCTGCGTAAGAAAGGAACTCAACAAGGAGATGTTTATTCTTTCGGAATCATCATGCAGGAAGTTGTGGTTAGAGGAGAGCCGTTCTGTATGTTGGCACTTACACCAGAAGGTAATATTTGAAAATACATAATTATAAAGACCCACTATTGCTATCTAGGAAACGGTAACACATACAAGGTCGGTTAAACCAGACAAAATTCCTTATTCTGGGTTACTGAAATAATTACTTTTCAGATCGACAATATCAGTGAACTGAAATTGTCGGATCTGATATGGACCAATTTGCAATTCGACATTTCGTTCATTAGATTTCATTGTCAACTATATTTTTCAGAAATTCTGCCTGGTACAGCTGTCAGTACTAACCAATTGAGTTAGGTGTGAAAATTCTGTATTTTTTATCATCGATATGTTGGTAATTTTCATCAAGAAATGGGTCAATCCATTCATGATTAGAATCTTCATTTTCAAAATTTGTTTCACTTAGAAAAAAACTCTTTCATGAATGCAAAATTGAATGAGCCTTTGAAAAATACTATCTAGATAACGAACATATAAGGTAACTACTTTTCTGAATTCATTTCTCTAGAATTTCTTCGTCACATTCCATTTTCCAACCGATCGTTTCGTAAGAAAACGTTTGGAATAACAGGATAGGATGGCATGGAAGTAATTCCCTAGCTTATCCCTCTAAAACGGAGAAAATGGTCTGTTGCAAACCGCTTTATGTAACGACTGAAGCAAGTAAATTGAATATGAACAGCGCTCGCTTCGCTTCATTCCCCCGCACAATGAAAAACAGCCCCCAACTATACTACGAGTATTATCTTAGGTCAGCATTCTGTCGCATCGTTATTCAATCTCAATATCTCGTTCACTTGGGGCAACGGAAGATTACACATTCCTCATCAATTTGTGGAAATAAGGAAAGGGAAGGAATGGAAACGTTATGGCTAATATTCCGAACAACCTAATATTTACTGAAGGATTGATTTTATTGAAGTGATAACTTCCTATGGGAGGGTGAACTGCTTCGTTACCTAACGCGTTACGTTGCTAGTCTGTCTGGTTTTTCTTTCTCTCACGCGTACGTTATCGGAAGGCAGGCTCCCCCTCTCTCTTCGGACAGACGCTCAGTATTTAGTGTGCCTGGGACATATACTATTGACAGTATTTTTTAACCATCAAGCACGTAATATCATTTTAATATGTGAAACATGGCTTAAAAATGATGATACTAATTTTGTGTATATATATTATTAGTATCATTATTCAATCCTGCAAAAGTAACATACACGAAATAATAAGTGAAATGTTGCATTAATGATTAACCTTTCCTTACAGTATCATATTAATATACATACAATTTAAGTTACAACATGAACTTCTCTAAAGTTGAACAATTTTAATGTTGAATAGTTCAACTTTGATTAATTTAGATTATCACTTCCGTCAGGCGTCCCGAAACCCACACATTTATTTAACACATTCATTTAATTCACCAAATTCACGATTTTGTGCCAGTTTCATGAAATAAGTCAGTACTTCATTTGCATTAATGATTAACCTTTCCTTACAGTATCATATTAATATACATACAATTTAAGTTACAACATGAGCTTCTCTAAAGTTGAACAATTTCAATGTTAAATAGTTCAACTTTGATTAATTTAGATTATCACTTCCGTCAGGTGTCCCGAGACCCACACATTTATTTAACACATTCATTTAATTCACCAAATTTACGATTTTGTGCCAGTTTCATGAAATAAGTCAGTACTTCACTAATTATTCTGTAAATACTGTTGTAAATAATGCCCTAAAGAAAGTAACGCCGGCCGCCACTGGTAGCCATAACCCAATTATGACGTGGCAAAGAGCGCGTCCAGTCCGACCGACTTTTCGCGAATATTCGATGTTCGCTGCAGTTCTAGATGTGGTGAGAATAATGCCACCGACCCCCATGGAATTCCGATGAATTTTCTACTGCTTTCGATTGCCATATATAAACACGATCCACACGTCTATCGAGACAGTCAAGTGGAAGTGACAGTACGGTACGCGGAGCGATTTAATAAGGCGATAGACATTTGAATCATAGTTGAAGTTTAACTCAAAATGTTGTGTTGTATCGAAAGTGAAATAAAGTTAAGATTAATTATTATACAGTGTAGTCAAATATTGATAAACCCACGGGGAATACGTAACAATACTTACACATTCCAGTGTGCGGAGCATTAGACAAAGGCATTCCGAATTTGTGAGAAGTTTATAACGATATAAAATTCAATTATTATGGAATTTTCGAAAATATCAAACAACTAAATACAAACTAACTAAAACTAATTATCGCAACTACATCGGAGCTTTCATAGAAATGTAGGCAAAGTATTACCTTTCATACTGGGGTCATCAAATGAATGAACTTCAGATGAGTGTAACGAAGTTTATGAGGATCACATCGTAAGAAATTAATTTCGAATTCTTCCATTTCCATCGTTTCGTCTTTTGGGTTGTTGAAGTGTGTGAGTAGTTTTGACCAGACACTCTCATGTTCAATCCGTTAGTGTATCGAGAATTTTCGAAGAAACTCTAAAACCTCTATAGCTCCTTTTATCATTATTTCATTTGGAGGGTATTTCAACCGATCCCGTCATTCTGAATTTAACTACGTCTTCTATTTAAATCTGTTCAAAATTAGTTTTCCGTTAACCAGCTGTCGTATTCCTACGAACGATAACCCTCAGAAGTCGAAACTTGTGCGAGCTAAGGACTAACGAGGTCTCTATCGTCCAACCCGNTAGGGCTTGAACCTCCGACCAACACGGCAGTCAATTCGAGTGAGTGAACAAAGCACCCACGTCGAACCGCTTGGCTACCGACCGTCTTCAACCTCATACTTTCGGTTGAGATTCGGTTGAATTCAGAATTAATTATGGAAAATCATCGACTTTGTGTTGTGTTGAGACACTACCAAAACCGGTCTGCAAGTATGCCTGTTCTAATAATTGAAAATCGATTCCGGCAGTGGTATCGACGAGAACATATGCAGGAATTACTTCTGTGAAGAATCCTGCACTGACACATGTCGAATATAGTCCAATTATCTTCGTGGTATCAGCCAGGAGAATATCTGTTCTCTGACAGGTGTCAATCCATGAACCTACTGTGTAGGTAAGGGAAGACTGGCCTAGACGAATTGTTCCTTTAGATGATTTTTAACAGAAATTCAGTCAGTATTTTCGAGAACAGCGCAACTTCAGTTGGAAGGAATATTGAATATTATTACTTTTCTGAAAAATCTGGTCTGGTGTTCTATTATTGCTTGTTCCTGCCACTAAATTATCGGTCTGTTATTTTAATTTTCTGAGGAGAATTATGTTCGTGGTAGAATGCATTCACTACTGTTTCATTCCTATGAACTCATTCCGATCTTTTTTCCAGAAATCATCGAAAAAGTTAAACGCCCGCCTCCTCTGATCCGTCCGTCGGTCAGCAAAGGAGCAGCTCCACCCGAAGCCATCAACATTATGCGGCAATGTTGGGCTGAACAAGCCGAGATGCGGCCAGATTTCAGCACAGTCCACGATCAGTTCAAAAAGCTGAACCATGGACGGAAGGTTAACATTGTCGACACAATGTTCCAGATGTTGGAGAAGTACTCCAACAATCTAGAAGAATTGATCAGGGAGAGGACGGAGCAGCTGGATATAGAGAAGAAGAAGACTGAACAGCTACTGAATAGGATGTTACCTAGGTTAGTAATATATTTTTTGAACGAGGGCAATTATAAGAAGAGTGATATTCTGAAGTTTCGATAGTTTAATCACAGTTGATTCAATGAACGATAATATGTTATGCCTTGTTGATATATTTCTCTCAACATACCTCATAGAGGTACTGAACCTGTCAAACTCCTTATGAATATACAGGGCGTTCCAAAGGAAATTTAACCCTCCCCTGTAAGTCAGACTAGGACGTGTAATCGAAAATTTCAAAGGACATGTCAATTTTCATTTTCAGAGGGACTAATTCTGATATGGAAATCATACCCGAAACTTCACCCTCCTGCGGTCAGCAACTACCCTCCTATTTTTTCAACGGCATGGGGGCGAGTGTTACACCATTTGAAAGGTTTTTTGTCCCTCTATTACTTCTGTGATTTTATTCGAAATTGGTTCATTCGTTATCGGGAAATTAAATGTTGAACATTTCACTTAGGAAAAAACAGAAAATACGCTGTTGCTCATTTCATTGAGGAAATCAACAAAAGTAACATCAATGGCAACACAATCAACGGATAAGGTGTTCAAAATGATCTCCATCTAGCTCCATACAATAATACAGTCTACTTTCTAAATCATTCCTTACATTATTGAAGATACCCGGAGTCAGAAATCGGCATTCCCGAAGAAATCTCTGTCGCAGGTCTTCTAGACTTGTGAAATTTATCCAATTAGTAGTTAACGTTTCGAAATGGATGTCGCAGAAAAGAAAGTAGATAGTTGACCACAGTCACTTCGTCTCCGGTTAGTTTTTGGGAACCCTATGCAACAATTCAGTTAGGAAAGTCATGATAAATCAATTTAACAGATCAGAAAGCAAACGCACCTGGAGCCTGACTTTCGACGAAAGAAGGTCAGATGTCAATCTTGCTGAAGTGCCTATCAGTAGGATTGAGAACCGCTCCAGGAGAAGCGGGGGTGGATGGAATGATGTATTAAGTTCTCCTCACAATATGTATTTTTCGAGGCAAAGCTTTTTTTGCTCCAGGGCACTCAACCCAGGAGGAGGCATGGGGAGTCACTTCTTCACGAATTATTAATCAGTCATCCTTGTTCACTGTGTTCCAACATGGTTTATTCTGACTATTACTGGAGTTTTTCCCAACACCAAACCGTTATTTTTAACACCTCGACACGTGTTTCGATCACCAAGTGATCATCTTCAAGAGGAAGATTAAACTAGAAACTAACGCCTAGCTAAATTAATTTTTTGCAATGTGTCCTTATGTAGTAATCAGTTAACCCAACAATATTATTTTAACAAGCTACATAGTATGACATTTGGTATAGGTCCGTCATCGTTATTCATAATATCATTGTGTTTACTTATTTCCAAATTCTCATAGGCATCTAGTTGCCTGTTGTTGTTAACTTGTCGTACTAATCTCAATAAACTGAAGTCTATGGAATGGTTTTGTTGCAAAATATGATGTGAGACTGATTTTTCAGGTTATCCACATTTTAAGTGTGCTATGTGTTCCTTATATCTTACTTCAATAGATCTTTTTGTCTGTCCATAATATTTTGCATCGCAGTCCTTACATTCAATTTCGTAAATTCCAGACTTTTCCGAATTCTCGACTTTGTCTTTTGGACTTCCCAAAAGGCTCTGTAGTGTATGACTTGTTTTAAAAACCACC